GGCTCAAGCAGTCCATGGAGATGGTGGGATTTACACCGGAAAAACAGAGACGATTATTCGCTGTGTTATCAGCTGTTTTACTCCTGGGAAATGTGGAGTTTCAGCCAAGAAAGTCGTATCATCATCACGATGAAGCTGTGGGAGTGAAGAACCCAGAGGTTGTGGCGATTATTTCTGAGCTCCTGAGGGTCAAGCAGGAGACACTACTTGCTGCTCTGACTGCCAAAAGGGCGAGGGCCTCTGGGGAGACACTGGTGATCAATTATCGGCTTCCTGAGGCCATCGCTGCCAGAGATGCAATGGCCAAGTGCCTTTATGGTGCTCTCTTCGATTGGATTGTTCTTCAGGTTAATCATGCCTTGTTATCCAAGAAGGATACACTCAGAGATCATCAGGGCCACAGCATTGGGGTTCTTGATATCTTTGGATTTGAGGATTTCAAAACCTGCAACAGCTTCGAACAACTCTGCATTAATTATGCCAATGAACAGTTGCAGCATTATTTCAATCAGCATGTGTTTCAATACGAGCAGAGGGAGTACAGAAAACAGGGTATCAGGTGGACTGATATTGGATACAGTGATAACTCGGGATGTCTCAATCTTATCGAGGGAAAGCCCAATGGATTGCTGTGTCTTCTGGATGATCAGTGCAATTTTCCTGGTGCTACGAATGAAACACTTCTACAGAAATTCAATTCGGTTCATAAGGAGAATCAATTCTATGAGACACCACAAAGAAGAGAAGCTGCTTTTGTGGTTAGACATTATGCTGGAGCTGTCAAATATCAGGCTGCCAATATGAGGGAGAAGAATCTTGATCTAATGAGGCCGGATGGAGTTGTTGGGGTACTGAAGAACTCGAGTTTGGCTTTTGTCAGGGAACTCGTTGGGGCTGATCCTGTCGCGGTATTCAGGTGGGCCATTCTCAGAGCATTCTTCAGGGCCCATTTCGCTTTCCAGGAGGCAGGAAGGGCTCACCGACATGGACGAGGTGAGGGGACAGGGTTTTTTACCTTTTTTTTTCATCTCTTTTTTTTTAGTTCAAAAACATTTCAATATTATCTACGCGTTGAATACCAAATTTGTTGAAAAAATGTAATTCTTTAATTATTTCATAAATCGCTCTTTTGGTAAATCAGGATAAAAGATAGATTGAAATAATAATAGATGGTAATTATTACGGGTTATTATTCTATTACTGATATAATTATTATAAAAATGTATTTT